GCACCGTCTCCCTCTGGACCCGCAGAGCTCCACCAGAGTCCTGCACCAACTTACCCTGAACCCACAGGGCTAAAACAAATTTGTCCACACTCTCACTCTAATCGACAAAAGCTTCAGCAAAGTCTACTGCCCTCTCACCCTGATCTTGCAGAGCTCCAGGAAAGTCCTTCACAATCTCACCTTGATCATGTAAGAATCCAGAGAGGTCTTCCATCTCCTCACCATCATCCTACAGAGGTCCTGGAACACCACAACCTGTCTCAAGTTAATCCAGCAGAGCTTCAACAAAGCCCTGCCCTTGTGACTTGCTTGCAGGCTCAGCATAGTCCTTGTCAGCTAAGTGACACATTTTTTAGACCTACCCAGAATTCTACAGAGGATCAGCTTTTGGCCACAGACTCTCAGCGTCCAATGCAAGGTAGTCCTATATCTTGTAGCCTTGCACATTCTCCGCACAGCCCTCCGTGTCAGGCAGGGCTTAGTCCTACCCTTGTTCAGCCATGGCCTGGAGAACCTGAGCGAAGCCCTCCACCACACAGTCCTGCGCAGGGTGGCACTACACAGACACAGTGCAATAGACCATGTAGTCCTACTGACATCATCACCACACAGTCTCAGCACAGTCCCCCACAAAGACTGCATAGTCCTCCACAGGTTGACACATCACCTCCACAGAGTCCCACACACAATGCTGGATGTACACTGGACAGGGAGAGCCCTGGATCAACCAGCCCTGCTGGGCTGCAGCGTGGGCCTGCATGGGACTTTTGTACACTGGACCAGGACCTCTTACCAGTCTGCTGTAGGTCTACTCAGACAGTAAGAAGACACGCCTCAATGAGGCCCATTTCAGCTCCATGTAGCCCATCACCATCCCCACTCAGAGCCACACAGTGTAGTCTGTCAATGCCTGCTAGCCCAGTACAGGCCAACTCTACGAAGCCTTTCAAGCCTTTACATCGTAGCCTTCTTCCTGTTGAGCTTGCTACACAGTCAAAAATCACAAAGGAATGCACCAAAACCAGTACCACAGAGATGAAGTCCTTGGAGCATAGTCCAATTCAGCTGAGTCCTAACCTTGATTGCCAAACACTGGAAAGTAGCCCCGCCTCTGACCTATCCATAATGTCTCCTTTTGTTCACGGCACGGATGGCAAACTCACAAACCAGAGTAGCATGCTTAGCTCTGCCCATTCTAGCCCCCATCTCGGTTCTGCTATGCCCACACCAGAAAGCCTGGGTCACATTAGCACTTCAATGGAACACAGTAGCCTAACTTTGCCACCTTGTGCTCATGACAGCCCATCACGCTATACAGAAGCTGTTGAAGGTAAAGCCAGTCCCATACTGTTCCAAAATAGCTCAGCTAGTGCTAGCCCCAAACATGCCAGTCAAACGCCTACAAGCCCCATCAGTTCTAGTCAGGCCTGTGCTAGCCCCATGTCAGTGGAGACTACAGAGACTAGCCCCTCAACTCAACCAGCTATCCCTGGAACACTAACAGACAGCTACTCTGCACAAACAATCGCCCCCTTGGCACCACCTGTTAGGTCCTCAACACAACCAGCTAGCCCCTCAGCAGTACTGGCTACATCCATCCACCCCATCTCATGTCAGGGTACGGAGATAGTAGATGTCGACCAGAACAAGCATTTTATTCAGTCAGAAACTAGTCACGGCCATCCTAACTTTTCTCTGGACAGTAGAGTTCATACTAGCCCTACTCATGCTTGCCCAGTCAGCACAGAAGCTAACAGTGCGTACAGTCTAATGGACTCCACACATGTTCAAGAGAGAACTGGTCCCTTTGTTTGTAGCTCTTCAGAGCTCGCACAGACTCATTCAAGTCAAAGTTCCAAACATCCTGGTCAGTCAAATCCCTCACATGTCCAAACTACCTGCAGTCCTCCTTCTTCTCGGAGTCCTTCTCCAGTACAGACAAGCCTCCTGCATACTAGCTTTAGTCCTCCACACTGTAGGCCAACAGATTTTAGCCCAGCTGGTAGTTCTGTGAGCCACAGTTCTAGCATTACTGATGTTAATGTCAGCCACAGTCCCCTGAGGTCTAGTCCTGCTGGTCAAGCTGGTCCTGTTCACATACAAAGCACCTGTAGTAGTGCCCACTCTGGCCCAGTCCAAAGTTGGACTCCCTCATTAGCTAGCACGACATCCAGCAGCCCTGCACATGCTACTGTATCGTGTGTTAGCCCACCTCACAGTCCAGCTCAGGCAAGGTATCGTAGCCCCCATTACAGCCAAGCTCCCGACACTGGAACCAGTTCTGGCCTGACTGTGGCGCAGCTGAGCCCCTCTTTGACGAGTTCAGGTCTTGATGTGGACATGTTGGCCAGTTGTTTAAAACAAAGCTCTGTTGTTCCCAGAGTGGTTCAGCTTGATTCTGGTCTTGTTGAACCTACAGACAGTATTATTCAGATGAGCCATACACCTGCCAGTTCCCTACCTGATGACTCATCTGCTGTTAGTCCCAACCAGGCTAGTCTGAGCCGGGTAAGCCAGTCCCCGGCTAGTCCTCTCCCTACCCCCTACAGGTCTGCAGTTAAAAGCCAACAAAACACTGCTGAAGGAAGCCCCTTGTTTCGAAGACCAGCGTCCCCTGTTGATGCTACTTCCGCTCTGGCTACTCCGAGCCATGCGAGCCCTGTCCATACGAGTCCCACTCAGGATTACACTGCGATGCCTAGCACTAGCCCCATTAGTGAAACACCCTCACAATTTAGCCCTCCTCAGACACTCTCTCCTTGTGCTCCACTAGCTAGCTCTGTGCACAGTAATCCAGTTTCTAGTCTGGTTTGTGGCCCTAGTCCTACCAGCCCTGTGCAGCCAGAGGCTAGTCCCAGTCCTGGACCAGGTAGCCCTCTGCGGTGTGAGGCTACCCCTGGTCCCCATTCAGTTAGTCCTGTTCTTGCTACCCATGGGCAGTCTGAAACTAGCCTTAGTCCTGGTCTTACTAGGCCTGTGCAGCCTGATGCTGGTCCTGGTTTTGGAGGCCCCTCTGTTTCCAGCCCCCAGCAACACACCACAGAGAGCGAGTCTTCAGTCCCTGTGGGTGAGTATCAGGGAGACATTTAAACAAAGAGAAGTGTGCTTTAGAAATAAAACTATTAGTGCAGACTTCAGATGTTTTTAGAACTTAATGGTTTTTCTACTTTATAACTTTGTCCTCTTCCCCTAGATGTCGGCGAGGTGGAGGAGCAGGAGAAGAACACTGAAGAAGAGAAGCCTGACCAGACAATAAAGGAGAGTCCAGAGGATGGAGGAGAACTAGACCACGAGGAGGAGGATCAGCATAGCAGCTCAGACTGTCCCCCTTCAGGTAGGGTTTGGATCAATCAACACTCAAAATAACGTCGTTCAAGTTAGGCATCAGTACATCATTGTTTCTACACACATTTACATAATATGTAACATTAAAATGATCAGAACTCACCGTCATAAAGGAGGTTTATTATACAGACGGCTACAATTATGTTTTCCTCCATTTATGATTCAACAATGTCAGGACGCTGCTGTTTTGTACATCAACATATAATAATAATAATATATATACACGTATTTGCTGTGAACTCTCCACCACAATGTTCAGTCGAGCTGAACTGTTCCTCCGTCTCTCTGCAGGAGTCCAGCTGGGATCGGTCCTGAATGAAGACTTCATCCCTCCTCTCTCCACACCACACTCTGCCTTACCCCTCTCCTCCCCTCCTAGAGCTGGCTCTCTGGAGGTCCCCCCCCACAGATCGGCCTTACTCCCCTCCTGCCCCCCTCATGCCCTGACTCCTCCCTCCCTTCCTCTGGAGGAGGAGTCTACCTATCAGAGTGAAGCCCTGGTGGAGGAGGCGGGGCTAGAGGACAACTCTCTTTTCTGTCATGTGACATCAGCAGATGATGACAGCCAATCACAGAGTCCGTTTGAACCTGCCAAAGATGAGCACCAATCACATGCTGAGCCTTCAGGAAGGGAGGAGGAGCCAATAGCTACAGACGTTGCCACTTCAGAGGAGGTTGCTGGGCAACAGCCAATGAGGGAGAAGCAGGATGCAGAAGAGAAGGAACAAGGAAAGGATGCGACTGGTAGGATGGAGAGAGAGAGCGCCGAGCAGGAGGACCAATCGGATGAGGAGGAGGAGGAGTCTGTGAGCCCTGTGCTGGAACTGGACTTAGACATTGAGGCGATGGCCCTGATGACCTCCTCGTCTCCTCCTCCCTCCCTCCTACATCTCTCCTCCTTTAGCCCTCCTCCCTTTTCCCATTCTCGGACTCTCAGACCTCCTCCCTGCTCCTCCCGACCTTCAGACGACCTCTCCATCCGTCTGAGACAGTCTCCCTTCTCCACTGAGGCCTCCCCCGAGACCTCTCCCGCCAGATCTCCTGTAACTCTGCCTCCTCTCTCACCCCCCTCCACTCCTCTCCGGTACTCCCCCCCTGACAGGGAGTCTTCACCTGTTTCAAAGGTAAATGTGACAAAAGAACACTAACTATGTGGTGAAAGTACACAGATTTCACAGTTCAGAGCGTTATATACTATTCTCCAGTATTTACTCCACTATAATATATATATATATATATATATATATATATATATATATATAGTTCTGATGACGTCGTTAACATTAAATGTTTGAAGCGTCTCCACAGATCCTCCCAGATCTTCTCCTTGTTTTGGTCTCCTATTAACTTCTCCTCCTTGTAATCTCATAGTAACATCTCCTCTGTTTTCATCTCCTTGTCTCCTCCCTTTGACTGACTCCTCCTCCCTCTCTTGTCTCCTCAGGCTCCTCCCATCACTGTGCTCCCCCTCACTCCTAAGATAGGAATGGGTAAACCAGCGATCTCTAAGAGGAAGTTCTCTCCGGGCAGAGCCAGAGTCAGACAGGTCTGTGACAGTTGATTTGTTGTTATTAATAGTTATTTTGTTTCTGTTGACTTTATGTTAATGTACTATGTGACCCCCCCCCACCCCCACAGGGTTCATGGTGGAGGAGTCGTCGGGCGGTCAGCCCCCCCTCGTCCTCCCAGGATTCCATAGGAGAGGACAGCTTTACACTCCGGCCACCAGACCCCCCCCTCTGGAGCATGAAAGTGGTAAAGACTGATCTCTGTGGTTATTTCTATAAAGATTATACTGTTCATATTAATATAATTATTAATATGAACAGTAAATATTAATAATAACGGGACCTCAGAATACTATTGATCACAGTGATTAGTTATTACATACACACTAAAGAATAATAACTTTATTGATTTTTAGCAATACATTTCATCCTCCCTTTACCCCTCCTACTCATCTTCCTCAATTTCCTTCCTCAATTGTCCCGTCCCGTCCCCCCGTCAGGGTCGTGGTTCAGGGTTTCCAGGGAGGAGGAGATCCAGAGGAGGTCTAGGAGGAGGAAGAGGAGGAAGAGGAAGGAGTCGACTGAAGACTCAGGACTGTCTGACTGTGTCACCGGGAGTAAGAACACACACACACACTTACACATATATACACACACACACACATGCATATACACACACACACAGATGAAGGATATTGATTCTGTTGTGTGTGTGTGTGTGTGTGTGTGTGTGTGTGTGTGTGTGTGTGTGTGTGTGTGTGTGTGTGTCAGTGTGTGTATGTGGAGCCATTCCAGCCAAAGGAGGAAGAGGAGAACTCGATGCACAACACTGTGGTGATGTTCTCCACCTCGGACCACTTCACCCTCAGACAGGTCTGTCTCCCTTTGAAAAACACTTAATTCTACAGTCAATGCCACAGTTTCAGCATTAACATGTTTCCTCTCATCATCATGTGACATCTGTGTAACACTTTGTTGTGTGTGTGTGTGTATAGGACATGTGTGTGGTGTGTGGGAGCTTCGGTCAGGGAGCTGAAGGAAGACTGTTGGCCTGTTCTCAGTGTGGACAGTGTTACCATCCGTACTGTGTGAACGTCAAGGTCAGTACACACACACACTCACACACTCACTCACTCACTCACAGTCTGTTTATTAAAACATGAGTTTTCTTAATGGACCGTTGAACACAGAGACATGATATATAGATATACATATACACATTTTTATGTTTGTTAAATTCTCAGTAGCATTAACTAAATGATGGTTATGATACATATTACAAACAAAACACTTTAAAAACTCTAAAACAATCATTTAAATTAATCATTTATTTTCTTGGTATTTAGGTCAGACACATGTGCAACGCTGATTACCGTAATATGTGTGGTATTTGTTATAAATGTACGTTGGTACATAGAGGGTGATAAGAAGCTGTACCTGGAGGGACTTAGGACCCAGGGGAATGTAGGTGAAGCATGAACCTGTAATCTGTACGGTGGCAGTAACCTGTATGAGGAAGTTATGCTAATAAAGAGTTGAGTTAACAGCAGTTTGTTCTCTCGTGCTTATGTGTTCATTTAAAAACACCACAATATGTATTTTAATATTGTCACGTTTGATCCTGTAACAAGACGATCGCGCGTGTGGGACAGGAGGGACCGACGGTGACGGCGTGAAGGAGGGGTTCCGGAGCGGGCGTGTCACCCGGGGGGGGGGGGGGGGGGGAGCGGCAGCAGAAGGAAGAGACACCACACAAACAGCTGTTCACCACTCACTGCCCGTTGTTGTGTTAAAAATGTCCGCTTAATAATAATAAAAAAAAACTGCGTTAACGCGCAATAAAATAATTGTCGGCGTTAATTAATGAATGCGTTAACGCGATAATAACGCGTTTACTTGCCCAGCACTAATCTATATAGATATATCCTGTAATGTGAGCTTCCTATCTGTAGATCACTATGATCTTTGTATTATCTCTGTTGTGTCTGTAGATCAACATGTCATGATGTCCTATCTATATCTATCTATATCTATAGATCACGCGGGTGGTGCTGACCAAAGGGTGGCGCTGTCTGGAGTGTACAGTGTGTGAGACGTGTGGAGAGGCCAGTGACCCCGGGAGACTGTTGCTATGTGACGACTGTGACATCAGCTACCACACCTACTGCCTGGACCCGCCCCTTCAGACGGTCCCTAAGGGGGCCTGGAAGTGCAAGTGGTGGGTCACTGTTTGTGTGTGTGTGTGTGTGTGTGTGTGTGTGTCTGTGTGTGTGTCTGTGTGTGTGTGTCCGTGTCCTCTCTGACATTGTGTGTGTGTGTCCTCAGGTGTGTGTGGTGTGTAAGGTGTGGCTCCGCCTCCCCCGGGCTGCACTGTGATTGGCAGCATAACTACAGTCGCTGTGGACCGTGTGCCAGTCTGAACCGCTGTCCTCTCTGTCAGAGACATTACACACAAGACGAGCTGATACTGCAGTGTCAGCAGTGTGACAGGTAACACACACACACTGAGACTCTCAGACACTAACACACACACACACACACACACTCTAACACAGCAGAATGGAGTTGAAACAAAGCATCTGAATGTGTTTGATATTTAAACGGTAAATAACTGTGTGTGTGTACAGGTGGGTCCACGCTGTGTGTCAGGGCTTGAACACTGAAGATGAGGTGGAGGCTTTTGCTGACGAAGGCTTCGACTGCCAGCTGTGCCAAACACACAGCCGCAGCTGCCACGGTACAAACGCACCCAGTAGCTAACGGCTAACAGCTAACAAACACCGTCATACTGATATGAAGTCAGCATGACGGCACCGAGCTTTACCCGTTAAATTTACTGCTCTTAGTTTTGTTCTAAAAGTTGGACCAGACGGTAACACTGGTGTGTGTGTGTGTCTGTGTGTCTCAGGGAGCTCAGACCGGTTGGAGACCCCTTTCATGGCTCAGATCATCTCCAGGATCAGAGAACCAGGTCAGTGTGACTCTCTAACATGAACTGAAACAAATATTTATAAGTACATAAATAATATTAATGTGTGTTTTACAATTAGAATAGAGAGTGCATTCATTCCTTCATTAATATGATTATGAAACAATAATAATGTGTTTGTGTGCAGAAGTGAAGACGTACACTCAGGACGGAGTCTGTCTGACAGAGTCGGGTCTCTCTCACCTGCAGTCTCTGGTGGAGCCTCTGACGTCACCGCGCAGCTACCGCAGGTGAGCTAGCATGAACGTAGCATAATGTAGCATAACGCTACAGAGAGGAGCTGTGACGGGTCTTCAGACTGATCAGCTGTTTCCTGTCTACTTCCTGCAGGTGTAAACCTAAACTGAAGCTGAGGATCATCAATCAGAACAGTGTGTCTGTGATGCAAACTACACCTGAGCCCTGTAAGGACCCTAGCAGAGGTTAGAGGACACAAACACACTCTCTCTCTCACTCACTCACTCACTCACTCACTCACTCACTCTTTCTCTCACTCACTCACTCACTCACTCACTTACTCTTTCTCTCACACACACACACTCACTCACTCACTCACTCTGATATAAACCTTTTCTATGTCTTCAGGTGACTTTGAATGTGAGATGAAATCTGACTCCAGTCCTGAGAGAGACCACGACCATGATGTCACAAAGGAGTCTGAGGTTACCGAATGCAACAAGAAGAGGAAGAGGAAACCCTACAGACCAGGTGAGGAGTTAGGAAGGGAGCCTAATCACCATGGAAAAGTCAGGCTGTAGAGTTCTGTCACATGATCCACCTGTCTCCCTCCCCACCTGTGTCTCAGGTATCGGTGGGTTCATGGTGCGTCAGCGTGGAGGGAAAGTCGGTCCGAGCAGAATCAAACTGAGCAGAAATGATTCGACAGAGAGGATTCTGGGAGATGAAGGTGAAGTACTGACCCTCCCTCACGGTTACATTTAGTAGTTTAACTAACTACTACTAACTAAGTTACTACTACTAACTAAGTTAATACTACAACTAACTAACTAATTAAGTTACTACTACCAACTAAGTTACTACTAACTAAGTTACTGCTAACTAAATTACTACTACAACTAACTATAACTAATTAAGTTACTACTACAACTAAGTTATTACTAACTACTACTAACTAAGTTACTACTACAACTAACTATAACTAATTAAGTTACTACTACTAACTAAGCTACTACTACAACTAACTATAACTAATTAAGTTACTACTACCAACTAAGTTACTACTACTAACTAACTACTACTAACCCTTTACTGACTTCAGAGCGTTTACATTATTTTTGGGATGTTGATGATATATAAACATTGTGGATCCTTTAGACCAGCTGATCAAACATCATTATGGATCAATGATCAATAATTAGTCATCATTGATCTAAAGGTTTGATCTGCACCATGAGGTTTATAGTTATTATGGTCTGTCACACATCAGGCCTTCCAGGTGCAGATGTTTCCATGGAGACGGTGTTACCTGCTGAGCAGACAATGGAGAAAGTGAAGAAGAGGTACAGAAAGAAGAAGACCAAGCTAGAGGAAGAGTTCCCTTGTTATCTCCAGGTAACACACATACATTAACACACACGCACACGCTCGCTCGCTCAGTCAAATGCAGTGATCTGATTGGCTGTTGCTCTCTATCCAGGAGGCGTTCTTTGGTCGCGTCCTTCTGGATGTGAGCCGCCTGGCAGACAGGAAGCAGGGGGCGGAGACGCCAGGTGCCAGCCAATCAGAAGCAGCGACCGGTGACGTGAAAAGCCCCGCCCCTGTATTACATGGCCCCTCCCCCTCGGGCCTTCCGCTTGGCACCGTGGCAACCAACGCCATCAAGAAGCAGCAACTGCGTGAGTTATTTATTATTATTATTATTTATTGAATCATATCTTCATCTTTCATCTGTGTTTGATTTACATTGTGAATCGTGTGTGTGTGTGTGTGTGTG